ATTCCCGTCACACCAAACATGCTCGCCCTTTCAGCCGTGGGGGCTGAATAAGTGGCGGTCAATCCCACTATTCGTTGGTAAAAGAGTAGCTCAAGAGTTGGCGGTGGGTGGTGATGATTAGCTGCCTGCCCTCTAGTCTTACACTGCTAAATTAGTGATGGCTAGCGCAGATAGCCCTCGTGTAACTTAGCGCGAAATTCATAACAAACAAATATCATGTTCATCTTGGATTAGTATCAAGTTTGCTTAGTTTTACACTTTATTCCATTTATGTGTCAGCGACAAACAAAGCTCGTCCATGTGGAAATAACTAATTAAACACACCACGAATTAATGAAGAAATTACTTGGTTTATCATCATTATATGATAGTTTATTATTTATATATTGGTCTATAATAATGTAAACCATTTTCAACCATTAAATTACGGACTTGTTCACTGGTTCTTGTAACTGGTAGTAAAGGTAATTCAAATATAATAATAATAAATAATAATAATTAAATACATAGATAATCAATATTAAAATAATATATATATATAAATAACACTGTGCTATTAATTCGTATTCTATAAATCTGCTTAAATAAAACTGATAAAAATTACAATTTATGGCTTAATCTGATTCACACCATAACAGTTGTTCATGAAAGTTGATGATATACACGTAGCGTCTAGACCACTATGTCTGTATGGCGTCCGGGTAGTGAAAGTGCGTTTTTCGCGGGGAACTCCCATTTTCCTCCCACATCAAAATTAAGGGTATTTGGATCTATCGATCCCCACCCAAAGTTATGCTTCTCCCAGAATAGAATAAACCGGAAAGAAAATTTCATCATGTCATGCCTAACAGTTCGATCCAGTTGTCTTGAAGTACTTTTTCCCTGCTGCCCCCCCCCCCTTCTCTCTACTGTGCAACCGTTTCTAAACTTTTACCCCATCAAGAATAGTTTAAAGTATTAGCTAACCTGGCTATACTACACCACGAGCGAGGTGAAGAGAAATTAATTTCTCTAAACACCCCGATTACATTTGGCTCTTTTTGAGTTTAAGGTCGAAGTAATCGAAATTCCTGCCAAGGTAAACAAACAAACACTATATGTTTAAAAAACTCTATTCAATTATGTACTACAGCTGCCCAATGTCGGCTAACGATACGAAGAATTAAATTGTGGCGAAATGCCACAAGTTCTTCCAATACGTATAGAATGATAGGTTTCTTTTTTGTGAGTGTAAAACACTTAAATATACCAGTTCGAAACACTATATGTATTTCGTATCCCAGCAGGCCTTTACAAGCATGCACTGTGCGAAAGGCCTCGTCGGCACTAGATATAGCGGATGTCGTGTGGTTGTAATATTATAACATATTCTTCTTTGCTTTCGCTCATGGTTTTGTTCAGAGAAGTAAACGAAAATTTGTTATTTTGCTGTCGATTTAAATAATGAAAATATCTGGTTTATCAATTTCCATTCATTATTTAACATCGCTGTTGATTTCAGTAATGTAAATAGTTTGGTTTGTCACATTCAAACTGTTTTTTTTTTTTTAAATTATTATATGACATTTGTTTGTTTGTAGCTGAGCACGAAGTTGTGTCCATTACGAGTATGGAAATCCGGTTTTTAGCGCTATAAGCCCACAGACTTGCCTCTGTCCACTGGGGAGCGTATTATACAATAGTGCTACAATAATGTGCATTGTAAACAGCTGGTTTAAAGATGTTTAAAGTAATCGCCTTGTGTTTTTAATGGAAATATATAACATACCGATGACACAATAACTTGTAGGAACACAACATTCTCTTAGAATTTAGATACGTCTGTACGCACATAAAACTTTTTCAGGGTTTTAATCATTTTCTGTCTATCCTACAACAAATATATGTTACACAGATGCTAAAATTTACATTTTCTGTCTATCCTACAACAAATATATGTTACACAGATGACTAAAATTTTACATTTTCTGTCTATCCTACAACAAATATATGTTACACAGATGCTAAAATTTACATTTTCTGTCTATCCTACAACAAATATATGTTACACGGATGCTAAAATTTACAGATATGTTGACCACAAGTTGCTCTAAACGTTTGGAACACCCTATGTTTTAAAACAAACATTAAAAGAAGCACTGTTCTCTTTATAGCTTACATTTTCAAAAGTGTCATTGCTGAATTCCTTTCTTTAATTCTAGGCTTGAGATTATAAATTATAAATCTTTCATCATCAGCTAGACTCACTATAGTAACATCCTTACTCTGGTTTCCAAACGTTTTTCACTGACGACACCCTTACCCACTTACCTTGATTTGCGCGACATCGCTGTGGCCACTTGCAATATTTTTTGTAGTTTTTTTTTATGTTTTTAATTATTCTTTGTTTGGTGAAATTCTCGCGACACCCCTACCAATTTGCCGCGACACACAGTTTGGAAACCACTACACTGTAGTACGATCCTCACTGGTGATAGGACAGCTACATTTTAAGAATAGTGTAATATTCACACCACAAGTTCGTAATATAACTGTTACCGTCCTGTCGTAGTTTAAGTTTGCAATAAGTCACATAATTTACATGACTGTAACACTTGTATCTTATTATATATATACATTGACTATCTTATAAATTAGGCTACTTTTACCCATAACTCGTTTCTTCTTTAACATAAGTGATATTACAAAGAATACACGAGCGACTTGTATGCATATTTGTCTCGTTGCTGTGAGATAATTTGAGGAATCACCACACTTCAGTACTATCTTTGGGGTAAATTTAACACGACAACTTACAAATATGAAACTTGCTGGCATCTGAAAACACGACAGCTTACAAATACGAAACTTATTGGCATCCGGAAACACGACAATTTACAAATACAAAACTTACTGTTACTGGCATCCGGAAACAAGACAACTTACAAATACGAAACTTACTGTTACTGGCATCCGGAAACAAGACAACTTACAAATATGAAACTTACTGGCACCCGGAAACAAGACAACTTACAAATACGAAACTTACTGGCATACAGAAACACGACAACTTACAAATACGAAACTTACTAGCATACAGAAACACGACAACTTACAAATACGAAACTTACTGGCATCCGGAAACAATACAATTTACAAATACGAAACTTACTGGCATCCTGAAAAAGGTTTGGTATTTCCGAAGAGCGACATCAACTTGCATCCCTGCGAGATCAATTTCTTCCACATAACTCCTGTAAAACAATAATTGAATTTGTTTTATAATAAAATTTTGTAATAAAAATTATAAATATCTTTGTATAAGAAATATGATAATTTATACAATCAGAATAAATTCTTTAACGATATTTTTATGATAAAATTGTAACTGAATCAAAACTTAGTTGTTGTTTTTTAATTTCAAACATTGACACAAATTATAAAGAGATACAAGATAATAGGGCATGTTTCATACTCAAAAAATCATCTTAATTTCTTATATTTATTTTATACTTTAGAATAATATTATATACGTGTCATGTTCAATGCTATTAATTTAGTTTTTAACATATGTACAATATTACTAGTGTGTATAAAGTTTTTTGTTGCTCTACATGTAT